AAAATTATAAATTTTAATTAATTATAATCATTATTAAATTTGAAATAGACATTCAATATTAATTTAGTTAAAATCAATAACTAAAATATTAAAATCAATTATTTTAGTTACCGAATCAAATATCTATAAATATTTTTTATTTAATTTTGGTTAGTAAAAATTTTAAAAAATAAAATAAAAAGTTCAAATATTAATTTTGATTAAATGGATACCGAAACCGGGCCCAGCCTTAACCACAGGGTACCAAAGCCAGAAAAGAACAAGAGTATTATATTTTTTAATGGCATGATATCAAACAATGCCAGAGCTGTCTGTAGTGCTTTAAGTTTGGCGTACAAGTTCAGTAAGTGATTTGACACAAATTTGTCCCTTTGAACACCTAGATACATTTATCAAAGAATGGAGTTGTTTCCCTAAAGAAAGTGAATTTTGGAAGAATAACAAGAATGAATAAGGAGAGAGAAGCACCTCGCACTTTGGGTTAATTGACATCATACTAACTTGAGGTGCATTTTTCTTATGAGTGGTTTCGAGCATGTCCCTGACAATTTGTTTCAAAAAAAAAATTATAATAATAAGGAGAGAGAAGGAAAGATAGGTCTGCCCATATTTGAGGCTTAAACCTCCTCTCAGCGGCTTCTTTTGTGTCCTCTTCGGAGCAGAGACTGGCGAGTTTGTTTGCAGTGGATTCGGAGGTGTTTGTAGAAAGAAAGCTATTTACTAAACAAATAAAAAAGATAGAAAAATGCACACTTTGATAATAGCATTTACACAAGAATCACAACTAGTTTCCCACTATTTTACAAAACAAACACAATTATTAGTTTCCACTTACATCACTTAGCATTCTTTTCTGCTTTCATTTTATTTAAGTTCTCAAAGCAGAAGCAAATTTCTTTCATATATGCATGACTTTAGTTTCATTTTCAGTCGAAGAAAGGAATTAGAAAAAAATAAATATAAACTTACAATTTATTGGCACGGTTTATGTACCATGCAGATAACTAACGAGCATTGAGCTTTGTCAGTGACCTAAGCTTGTTTGAGTTTGTGTCTCCATTTCAACAGCTGAAGCTCCAACACTGATTCCGCTCCTCGCTCCTCTCCTCCGAAACTACAATTTTACAAGACCAGCTCCTCCTCTGAATGAACCATAAAGGGGTAATGATTTTCTGAAACTAAATATGTCATCAATTTCGCCGGGTTGAGCTGCTTCACTTTTTGTGGTTTTATAATCTGCTAAATGTCCCTTCCCAACCACACGTACGCTCAGGGTCCTCTTCTGCGGTGCACCAACTTTTACATACTGATTGAAGAAGTCTATCAGTTCTGGTTGTGTAAGTTGCCTTAGTGCTGCAACCTGTTAGAAAACAATTAGTATTCACCTTATTAATGATTTATGTTCGTTGCAGAAGATGTTCAAGGAGAGAAATGAAAGACCACGAATGTGATTTTCATGCCTCTATTACATTTACAAGTCCTGCAATGAAACCAATGGATGTTCATTTACTCTTTTACAGGTGATATAGGATCAGAAAGCTTACATACCTCAGCTTCTATCCGATCAAATTTTAGAGTTCCATTGGCAATTTCTCTCCAGTAAAATGCAGATTCTTCCCATAGATTCTTGTGCTTCTCAAGCTTTGTATCAATCAATGCATTCACATTGCTCTGCATATTAAGTTCAGCACTGAGTTTACCATTAAGGGATGCCCACAAAATCTTATGCACATACATGGACAAGCAAAAATACATGCAGATGGATACACCTAGTCTGAATGGTTATTGATTTGAGAAAGCATCCTGCAGTGCACTACTATGGACCATATCATGGAGTTCAAGTAAACCTAAATGAATAGAAGAATAATTACATGTCTACTTCAATCTTACCTTAAATTCATCAGGAGTCATCTTGTAAAGTTGGGTCTCAAACATCTGGAGGAATGCCTGAATTCTTAAATCAATATGCTCTGGGCCCTGTGCAGGTTAACCAAGTTTCAGGGATGAATCATCAATAATATAGAAAGGACAAAACAACATTTACCTTCACAGTGGACTGGATAATAAACTGCAATCCATGAATTCCACAATCATTCCTAATGAGCAAAAAAATGAACTTAAATAAGATGTAAGATAATGATGTCTAAATTTGTGGATGGGAAACTTTTCATACCTCTGCTGGAGAGAAGTAATGTACCCAAGTTGCTCAACAGATCTAAGCTGATGGAAGGTTGGCTGCTTAGCAATAAGAGCAAAAAGCTGAAGTTTCACATTCAACATAAAATCATCGCGATGAACCTGGACATTTACAAAAGACCTTACATCAGAACACTACTAAGAATTAGATCAGTGACAATTCTTACCTAGCAAAAAGAAAAATCACACTACTTGTCTATAAAATGAGATTACAAGATAACCTAAGCAATATGATGTAGTAACTGAGGATCTTTTGACTTAATAACTAAGTTCCCATGCAAACCATTTTAATAACTTGGAGTATGTAGCCTAAGGCCCATGATAGAGTACTAAATCATTTGAACTAGAAAACTTGACAACAAATAGTAATTGCTACACTGCCTCAGTGGTCGCCATCAGATGAAACCACAACATCCTGAAGATGTTTGGATACCATACAATGTATGATTCTACAGGTCAAGCAGTAAATAGATTACTACTCTAGAAGAACTGTATGAGCAATACAAGACAAATAAAGGCATTCCAGGATGGCTGACTAAATGCCCTCACAAAATTGAATATCTTTTTGTAGATTCCAAAACAAATGTAATTTACCTGAATATAGTGGAGAAGGGCAGAATTCTCATCACTTGGATTTAGTACTTCCTTGGAGTAGAAGTAATTCATGCCCCTTTCAAGTTTTACAACTCTATTTGTAAGATGCTGGGATGGAAATAATGGTTGACATATAGGGTTTGAGCCCTTAAAGAAAATATCTTCAATATGCTCTATCATTGAATTTGCCTCAGCGCGTTCAATGTTACCTAAGAGATAATAACATAATATTTAGAATATAGCAAACATAACCTAAACCAGCAACTTTATTGGGGTGAAAAAGGGAAGAGGAATAAGAAGGACCTGCTATGTAACATTCAAGGAAGGCCCTTGAGAGCATCATGGGGGCAAATTTGGCAAGGTCTTCAGCTTTAATATTTGGCAGGACTTCAAGTTCTTCCATCCAAGGCCATGTGTGGTCCTCCAATAATAATGAGCAATAGTACATAGACTGCTCATAAGGTTGCTGAAACTTCCGATTTTGATAGTCTTGTGTTACCCATTCCTGAAAAAGAGACAAGCGTGGGAAGAAATTCAGAGGACACTAGAGAATGCAACTCAGAGACTAAGAAAAAGAAGCTCAAATACAAGATCCTCCATAGTCTAGTGCAATATGTTATACATTAGCATGTATGAAAGGCTGCATTATGAGGATGTAGTTATGTATAATGATGGGAGTCATGAAATAACACCTCTTTAGTTGGGCAAACTACATGCTTATGTATAAATCTGTGAGGCTGAACAGGCTTTAACATGACAAAGCTTACAAATTGTCAGGATACAATTGAACAAAACATATAAAATACATTCCAGATGGTAGGTGAAGATATTTAATTGGCCGATGGTAGTGGGTTGTTTGTTAAAGAGTTTTTTCAGGGGCAAAAATAAAATGGAGTGACATCTACAATACCTGAAGTAGCTAGATTTCATTACCTTGATTACAGAAAACCGGTCAGGTTTTACTTCAAATTTTGCAATTTTGTCAACAACAGTCTCCAATAGGATCTGGAGTTTGTGATTATAACCAACCAACGTCACCTGAAGAAGAACTGGTTACTTACAAATACAACAAACAAGGCGTGGAAGCACTTATACAACATATCAAACAGAGTAAATACCACCCAATGATAACCCTTAATGGATTTTTTTCACACTCTGAAGTACTCAAAGCATAGATATCACAGAGCAGAAGAAGGTAAAGCAAATTAAAAAAATCAAACAAAAACTGAAGGCAAAAGAATAAAGCAGGAATCTATTCTATCTGTTAGTCTAATCCAATTTTCATCCTCCTAAAGGATATAGATGATTACCATAATTTGTTCTATCATCAACAACGGAATATGTTGGCTTATGAGGAAGCTAGCATGATAGTACTCAGTATACCATTGAGCAAAGCAGCAATCGCATATATTTAAAAGCAGTCTGGTCTAAAATGGATCTCCCATACCAACTAATTGTATGGGTTCTTAAGATAAGATAAGATGATAAAATATGTTTAAAAATCAAATGAAGAAAAATAGAGATAGCTGAAATGGATCTCTTCTGTTTTAACAAAGAGAAGAGAAGAGAAGAAAAGACCTGTCCAATTTGTTATATGGATACCAAACTGAAGCAGAAAAAATATTAAGTCAGAATCCAGAAAAAATGGCAAAACAGAAAAAAATACCTCAAAACCACTATCCGTGTTGCTTATGTAGTAATGAAGGCCAGCAACTTGGGCATGGTAAGCTGGGAAGAAATAAAACAATTTTGTCAAAATATAGTGCTATTGACAAATAGAATAATAGAAGAAAAAAACACTACAGCCCCCGTAGAAAGAATGTGGAAGACAGTAGCCCATGCAAGGAAACGGCAAATTGAAACCCATTGCATATTTAAAGGCTATAAACTTATACTTTTACCATACAGGATAGTAAATCTTTATTCAATGATTTGAACACAGGCAACAATAAGAATGCAATCTAACATACCATATTCATCCAAGTAATCCATCACCAACCGGGCAAAAATTGATGTAAGAATTTGAGCTTCAGGGGAATTGCTAGCATAGGGACAGTTGAAGTCTATCTTAACATAAGCCTTAGGAGAGGAGAACATCGTATTAGGCTTGTACCATACCCTTGAATATGATGACTTCCTAAGTAAAACCGGATACTTGATCTGTTCCAAACTCAAATTACTCAGAAAAACTACTTACAAATGATTGTGCAAGACCAAACTGAGGGATTTATCAAACCTTTTCTTCTGGATCTTTAAGTGACAAATCTGTTGGAATGAAGATATTAGGTGTTGGTAGATGCAGATTCTCATTAGGAGCCAATGACATCCACTCCTGCAAACAAAGATTTCACAAGGCACTTAAATTTCAATGATTCCAATTACAAAAACCAAACAGGCTAATTAATTTGAAAATGAGCTACAGTAGAAAGGGGCTATGGTTCTTCTCAAACAAAGGCAATTGTGCAACAGAGATATGATTCCAAGTTTCTCCCCATAAGATTAAATCCATACCATAGTAACCACATATGTTGTAATTATCTGATATTATTCCAATATAATTAGGTTTGGAATGCAAAAATCCAAGCTAAAACCAATTGGCAATAGTTGGAGTAGTCCACATTGTATTTAAGACTAAAGGTTTCCCTTAAAATTAGGATGTGGAATTTTCTCACTAAACAAGGAACAATGAAAAATGAGGCATTACACATGAACCCAAAAACAAACCTGAATCATGGATGTAGTGACTTTCTCAATGGAATATGCAGTGCCATACCATGGTTCCACCATATCAGTAAGCCCTCCAAATTTCTTTGACTCCCAGAAGATTCTGTCAACCATGGAGCTTATCAAAAAGAAATAACCACACTGAACCAAAACCACCTCTGAACTGGAAAAATGCAGATAGCTAGTTGCGGCATTATGAGAAATATGACAAAATAAGAGGCAAGTATTTTTTATGCATTTCTATGGTTTTGAATTTTTTTTTTGTTTAATTTATTTTTATTAGAAAATCCTAAATAAAAAATAGAAATTGAAGTTTTTGAGAACTTATTTGTGTCTAATGTATGAATTGCAATACCCAAAAGTGATCATCAGAAAAGAATTGCATTAATTTTTGAACACTCACTTCTGCCTTAAAAAAAATACTACATCTGTTGATTAATATTTTAACACTCTTTAAAATTTATGACACTAAATTATTCAACATCCAAACTACCAGTTATGCCTTCTATGTAGCAAAATTGTTTATATGAATATTTGAAAATCTAAAATAACGCATCATATATCACATAAATAAAACCCTCTTCTCTTGATTCATTGCTCACCACTATTATCTACCTAAACATTCACCATAACGTATGTATACAGCCTTTTTTGTTTAACCAATTTCAAATAAGCAAGCTAGATCACCAGTTGAGATGATCAGTTGTTGAATTATATGGATATAAAAAGCAGGTTACCAAAATAGAAGACAATACAAGTAAATGCAACAACATTTGTTCTACTCTAAACTTTTCTTGAGTGCTTACCGGACTTTATCTGGAGAAAGCTCATTAAGTACCATCTGTATGATGCCTTGATTAAAATTTGAAGGCATTGATGATCCCACAAGCCAGTCTTTAGGAGGATACATCTGAAAACAATTTCAAAAGCATCATTTAAACATGTAGAAATTACATTAGTCAAGTTCAATACAGAATTGTAGAAGAGAATTATTAGGATAATTATAATTCAGTTCTTGTTTGGTCCAAGTCGTAACCAAGTCCCTGGTCCAAGAAAAGTAAAGACAGCAATAGTTGAACAGTTATAACATGATCAACTTAATTTTTTGCCAATAAACTGAAAGATATACAATCAGGAGCATGGTGGGCTCATGTAGTCCATTCATAGTTATGGTCATACAAACTCAATCTAGGATGATCAACCCCTCTAAGGCAACACAAGATGAAATAAGGAAAAACTCAAGTACTCAACACCTAACAATTACAAGATTTGATGGGAAAAAATAAACAATTAAGCAAGTGAAAGAAAAAAAAAATATATATATATATATATATATATAAACAACGACTTTGAAACTTTTTCAGCCAAAAAACAGGACTTTCAAACTTTAAAAGCACAATGGATTAAAGTAAATTTTCAAACACAGATTTTTATGTGTTTCTCCCTTGGTTGGAAATTATGGTACATTAGGGGTTAGATGTTATGCTTTTTATGTGATTGAATATCAACCAGACTAGTAAAATAATTGGTGATTGGGCCAATTTTGTTTAAAAAGGGATTACTTAACACTTCCATCTATTCTTGTTCCAGTTTTAACAAAAACACACAAGCCAAAAAAAACTCATGCTTTCAAGAATAATATTCTTCTTATGTTATTCCCAATAAATACTCTACAGAAGAAAGGAACCAGCATCTTGTGTTTGATGTATGAGATCTCAGATATCTTGGACATATTTACAATCGCTTGGATAAGATAAACTTTGCTTGTCATGTATTTACACCAGTACAGCATAACTATGAAAACATGTAGTCGTTTTTTAGCAAAAATCCTTGTGAAAGCCATACCAGAATAGGTGATTATACAATATAAATATAGACTAACCTAGAAGAGTTTTTCAAGTAAAAACTATGCAAGATAGCCATTTTTAAAAAGTAAACAAATTAAAGAGGTTCACCAGAAAAGGAAAAATTAAAGAGGAAAGGGAAGAAATGAAGTCAATTACCCGCATCTTTGATGCAATGTTCACAACATAATAAATAGGATGGACTTTGTCCTTATAGTGAAAGCCTGTCTCACAGACAGCTGAAAGCTTCATGACAATTAAAAATGTCAGAATCCAATAAAACGTGAAAGACAGCTCTCTTCCCACATCTCCAGCATGAATATCAAAAACAATTAACATTGGAAAAAAGTATGTCAGCTACTACTCAAACTGCAACATACCTCATCGAATATCCATTTGCAAACACCAGATTGCTGTAAAAGTTGAATGTATTTAAATAGCAGTCCTACTATATCCTGCATGTGATCTGAAATCCCAAAAAAAGAGGTGATTTTAGTGAAGAAAAATATAAAAAACAATATCAGAGATTCAACAAAAATAAAACAATGCCAAGCGACACCTACCAAAAAACAATGGTTCAAAGAATTATAAAATCAATCAAATAAATGGCAAGTGAAAGGAAATGAATACAAATAAAGAACTTACCATGACCAGCATCTGTAAGATCAATTACTACCACAAAAAAAGAAAACTCCAAAGTCCACTCTCCTTCACCAGCAAACAATCCTGTAGCCCATCCTGCAAAGTTTCATAGAAGTAAGAAGTGGCCTTGAATAACAAAGACATGCCTATACACACATATTTTTTAGTAATTATCGTTAAATTCATTTGGATTCTATTAAAATAAATTTCTATTTAGAGAAGTTGGAGTATTATATACCCAAACCCTCAAGAAATGAAGCACCTTCTTGGCAGAAAAATCTGTCACATATTCAATTCTTATGCCAACAAAAACAAAAAAGATACTCTTGCAAAATTTTCTTATTGAGATTGTCATAACATTTTTGTGAAGGCAAAACATGTCAACAAACAAAATCAACTTCTGTGAAGGCAATATGTTTTAAGATATTTCAGAATTCGACCTTAATGCATGCAAAATATTTAAACAACCTACCCAGTTTTTTCAAGTTGTAAAACAAAGACCCTTCTCCTTTGTGGCCAATAAGATGACCAAGGTACCTGCATGGCCCTTCCTTGTAATAATGAATTGCTGGAGTTATTGGCCATACAATTCTCAATTTGTTACCTTCTTTTATTGGAACTGCTCTAACAAGAATCTGAAACAACCATGGACAAAAAAGATGGACAAATAAATAGAAGTGCTAAAAATATACTACCAAGAGATTTACTTCCTACCTGCCATGGATGATCAAATGTGAAATGCTTTAATGCATGCAGTAATAACATGATTTCTACAAACCTGTAAATGTTCTGATGAGCAAGGTTGACCAGGAAAACTCAGGAAGCTTCGACTAGAGTTCCTAATTTCCTGAAACTTATCCTCTACCAGGCTCTGTATTTTATCAAGACTTTCTAAAAGTCCACAACAAAAAACAAATTCATATTTTATCAAGGCTCTGTATTACTGAATATTATGAACTTTCTTTGTGAGTTTGTGTCAAATCAAATCCATAGCCCTAACCTTTTGAGTACACAGCTAAATGCATAAGGTTGGCAGAGTAATTTTTATCATAGAATTTAAGCAGCTCTTGTCTTGTATCCACTCCTTTTGCCTTTGGTCTAATCTCCAAAGTATCCCAATTCCCTACAAGAGAACAAACAGTCAATACAGTACTTTGCTAGAAACTGTATATCCTCGAAATATTTGTTTTCAGTTTTTGTTAGATAAGTTTTCAGACAAGTTCTAGTGCAGTTTTAATAAAAATAAATAAGTCAATGAAAGATTAAAGACAATCATAAATATATACAAGGAACTGAACACCAAACACAAGAAAACATTACAAAAGGGCGAAAAGGAGATATTACAAGTGATAGGAAGACAGAAGAAGTGCAAATTAAATTACTCTATATATCAATGCTCTGCACTTGAACAAAGGGGTCAGATATACGAGAAAGAATCAAAAGAAGTAGGAAAGAGAGAAAGACCAGCTACCCTAAATATCCATAGAAGCCCAATAATAATAGTAAAAATATAATAATAGTAATAGTAGTAGTAGTAGTAGTAGTAGTAGTAGTAAATAATAATAATAATAATTGACTGTTGTGCAAAATAAACGGAGTACCCAAAAGCTTTACAAGCAAAGGAAAGTCTTTGCAGCAGATGAATACAGAATTGTTAATGACTGCTGATTCAGACGTACCTCTTATCCAATAAGGGGAAATGTAAATTGAATTAGAGAAAATTCTAACCTGTACTAAACTTATGATAAGGATGGCCTTCCATGCTGATGTGTCTTTGAAGCTGTGTAGAAGGAAAGTTTACACAGAGAAAAAGCAGTTAGGTCGAGTTCAAGAAATTTCACTGTTAAGAAACAGCACAAAATAAAAACTACGACACAGATGAAACACAAAGGCAATGATTATGATAGCATTGTACAATGAATCTAATTCTTTAGCAAATATATTCCTGCTAAAGCTGCTCAACAAAAAAAAAAAAAAAAGCATTCTTGCTAAACTGTGGGAAAGAGAGGAATCAAAGCTGATAGCATTAATATCTTGTCAAATTAATAACCATAAGAAAATCCACTTGGAACTAATCAGAGAGCCCTGATTGTGTTATAAGGTTTCAGTACAGATGATGGGAGAAGGGGGAAGGTGGGTGGAACTTTGAGGGTTTGGAGCCAGTATTCTTGTGCTTCTTTCAAAAGGGATGATGCTACTGAAGCATAAAGCATGTCTAAAGATGAAGCAAATTCCATCTCTCAATTAATGAAAAGCAAAAACCCAGCATTCATATCAATTTTCAACGAACTAAAATACAAGAAAGTCTCTAAGAGCAACTCTTCATTTTCACTTATTACAAATAAACATATCTAGATTATTGGCTAGGAATGTAACTGTCATGTCCATAGATGGTATCCTTCCTCCAAAATGAAAAAGGAATCCATGCATTGAAAAACAGCCCTCATAGGTAGTCTTCCCAAGTATCAACAGCCAACTAAAGAACATCACCCTCAGAATTCAAAAACTCACAATTTGCCACTACTTTGAGTAACCAATCCCACAATTATGTACAGCTAGTCGTTACACTTTGATGGTCAGTCAAACAAAAAATTATACTCTTGAGTATGAAAACATGAGCAACACAGAGTGTACATGCAGTACTCTCAAGTTTATGAAAATGAATTAGAGAAAACTATTCCAAAAATTTCAAAGCACTCACAAAATCCAAAATTTTTTAGTAACATGTGCAAAGTGCATGCATGTAAACAGAAGTCATCTTTCAAAGTCCAGTCTAGATATTAATCTGTAAGATACTTGCTTTGGCAAAGAAATATTCAATTTCTTACATGCCATCATTATGCTCTGTCCTGAAAGATATATAAATCAATAAACTAAAATGAGAGAGAGTCTTCCAATCTAAACATAAGATCTGATTCTACTAAAAGAACCAACAACAAAAAATTTAGCATTTGAAGTTAGAGCATTCAAAAGCTTGAAATCTTTGGTTAAAAAAAAAAAAGTTTGAAATCACTCAATTGACAAAAAGAGAGTCCAGAACAGTGTAGCTACTACCTGGCTCATTCTCCAAACATCAGAAAGTAAGTTCTTTTTGTTCTCTGGAGAGGGAGAGGTAGAGAGAGAGAGAGAGGATAAGCACGAATTAATTTTGGTTCAAAATTGTGAGAGATAATACACTAAACAAAATCCAGAAAATAGCAAACCAGAATCAACTGCTTTGATTTCCCTCATGGTTGCATCGGCTGAGATCAATGGTTTAATGAAGAACTGTGCAAATCTGAAGAATAAATCAGGAAAACTAATCCAACCTCACAGAGAATTAATCAAAATCAGAAAATTGATCAACAGCGCCTACCTGTCCAAAGCCTCTTCAAAACCATCAGTATTAACATCAAAATGAAAGTTAGTACTCTCAGAAGCTGTAAAGGCATTTCTTCTACCTCCATGCTGCACATAAACCACTCAGGAGGTCAATAAAAAGATAGAATTGAATTGCTTTAACATAGTCCACAATCGTCTTTTCCACCATGAGTTTGCAATTATTAATCAAGCTTAGAAAGAATTCAAAACCCCATTAGATGCAGCTCTTTTCATCAACTAAAAACAGATCATATCCTTCCATTTCCTAAAACTAAATAATAGCATATTGTGCCAACGAAAAAAATATCATAGCATATTGGAAAGCAACATTCATTCTTATTAAGTCAACCATCAAATAGAACAAGGGAGACTGTATTACTATTATATTTAAGACATATATTACCTCTGCAATGTACTTTGAGTAACTATCCTCCAAAGGATACTTCTCACTAGCATAGAACAACATGTGCTCTGCGAAAATACATCAAAACAAAAGGCAACCACTAAAACCAACCACCTAACACTGAATCCGGAAATTGAAACATTAAGCATGAAAACCATGATAGGAAGAAGAAGTACCGAGGAAATGAGCGAGGCCTTCGAGACCATCAGGATCAGAGAAGAAACCAACACCGACGTTCATAGAAGCAGCACACTGAGAGATAAAGAAATAATGAGAAACGGTTGATTTCTGACGTGAATGAAAGAAAGGGGAGAACGGAGAAGGAATTGCAGAGTACCTTGTCGGTTTCCGGATCGCTGATGAGGAGGACTTGGA